CCGTCCCGTCCCGTCCTCCTCTCTCTCTCTCTCTCTCTCTCTCTCTCTCTCTCTCTCTCTCTCTCTCTCTCTCTCTCTCTTGTTGCTGCTACTTCGCCAACGACAACGTATTCAAAATTTCACGCGACCTGCACAACGTCTGAGAACTTTCGTAACTCCCTCGCGCCATTAAACAGTCAATTCCAATCAATACTCGCAACAAGACACTCGCACGACATTCTCGCTCGTCATCGCTAAGTACCGTCCTAACGACGACACGCGCGTTTCTCTCTCATCCGCGCGGCAAAAGGAAGAAGCTGTAGAATTTCATTCTAAAACCGTTTTAAGTCAGCAATTTACGCCGTAGTCGCCGCCGTCGCCGCTGCTGCGAGATTACAATCCGGATTTCTACTGGGCTTCCTATTCCGTAGAGTGCGATAATGGCGTTCTGCGCGAACACGGTTGCACGCTTTTGAATTTTCCCTGTTCACACCATTACCTTCCACCGTCCTACTAAGGGTTCCTACATTCGAATCGACGATCACGGTTCACCGAACGAGCGACGAAAAGCAAGATCTGGGAAATTCACAAGGCCGGAGGCCGTCTATCGCGTCTACTACCTTCTTTCTTAGTGAGGGAAATGCGTTTGACCTTTTATAGTATTGCTTCGCTTTAGCGGGGCTGCTGCGAATCCGGAAATCCACGGAAAAGCTACGTGGAAGCCACAAATCTTCCAGAGTTTTCTCCCTTGGCTAACGGCAAAATAGAGAATTTCTAGTTACCATCGAGTGTTATTATCTCTCTATAAAATATAAAATATAATAACGAAACTAAAGGTTGCTACGGTTCTGAAGTCCGCGGAGAATTACGAGGAAGCTGCGCGAATGATTTCGGGAATCCTCTGCTAAACGCAAGAGTAATCTAGTTATCGCCAAACGTTATATCTCCTTGTGTAAATATTACATAATAAAAAGAAAAAAAAAAATACAAAAGATCCGATACTGTAACAGAGATAAATAATACTTTTCCCGCGCGAAATAATCTCCGCCGGAGCTTCCTCGGAATTATCGAGTTTGTCCACGTAGCAGCTTTGTCTATGTCGCATCGCTCGCTCCGTCTAGGCTCGTCAGTCACGGCGGTGGAACGTGATTTTGCAGAGGGTGAAAGGGCCGGTCGGGACCGCCGGATAAGGGAGAGAGCCGCTGCTGAGTCGGTCCGTGCGGAATCGAGGCGAGGATTCTCATGCACGCCGCGAACTTGCCCGGCATCCCGTGGTCGAGAGGAGAGAAGGAGCATGACGTAGTCGTCGGCGAGGGGGGCTCTTGGGATGCTCCGGACTACTTCCGGCTAGGGTCGTCGTATGGAGGGGCAGGACGTAACCACCGCGTACGGCAACCTGCTTCTGAATTTCACGACCATCAACGCCACGCGAGCCGGCACCGACGAATCCTTCTATTGGGGCTTCCCCGGCAAGGACTCGCCCTACACCACCGGTCAGGTAAGCGACCCGTGGCGTAAGCTACCGTAGCTGCGCGTAACCGCGGAACGAACTCGCTCTCATTCGCTCGAGGGGGAGGGGTGGAGTGGGGGGGGTGAAAGGGGAAGTACCCTTGACGCCTCGTAAAAGTGACTCGAGTGAGTGAGAATACTTATTACGCTGTAAAATAAAATCCTTTCTTAACGCAGAAAATAAATGGCAGTAAAGGGAAGGAAGATTAGCATGTTACAAGCTGACGTTTATTCAACTTTTGCGAGGCTCTAAAGTAGACGCGACAAACTTTCAAGTCCGGACGATCTATAATTCGCGATAGAATTCTATTTATAATTTTACGTGTCGTGTGATATAGGAAACATTTGAGCAATCTCGAAATACACATACATACAAAATGTATATATGCGAGAGAATTCTTATACTTCAAATGTCTTTCATTGCATAAAATTATAAATAGATTTCTATTTCAAATTCTGTCGCAAATTATAGATCGGCGACTTTAATAGGTTTTACTCTGATTCAATACGAACAATTTCGCGTTATATCGAGAGATGCTAAAATTATGCCCACGCTGAATGTCATTGAAAGAGAGCGGAGATTATGATCTAGAATATTATTAATAAAATTTTCTCTTTTAAAATAAAATTATTTTTTACGTGGTTGTTTTCAAAGGAATTTTCTTCAAAACAGTTCTTTCTTCTTCCTTGACATTTACCTAAGCAAATACGATATACTTTGTATAACAGTTTGCTTTAGCTAGTGTTAGTTTACAGAGGAAGCTTTTTTAGGTGTAAGTAAATATTTACGGAAAAACAGTTCTCGTCTATCGCCAAAAGGGATTCACGATTGAAAATGTTACATTGAAAATGTTAGTGTTACATCTCGCAATACGGAGCACCATAAACAAAAATATATAACGTAGTAAACACGAAGTACTCCGGATATTTTTCGCTTTAATCGCGTTACGTGTCCGGGAATAAAATTAATTGTCACCTTAACGTAAACAGGTCTCGAGACTTATTTGCTCCATTTAGTGTCCACGGTCTCTCGCGTTGCTCCGGGGCTATCGATAATTACTAAAAAATAACCGGTAAACATGTAAAACATGATATTTCAGTAAAAGAGGTCGTGTTTACTTTGATAAATGCTACCGCAAACATTATGAACTTTTGTGCAGCACATTGTGTAAATTCACTTTTTTCTTTTTATAATTCGATATATAATTGAATTAATTAACGAGAAATATTCCACGATGCATGATCGGCATGACAAAATAACATAATATTGGCCCAACATTAATTTTATAAAATGAATAAAATCATTATAATTCTTGTTAATAAAAAAAACTCAACTCACACATTTGCATATATAATATACTAATATAATATTTGCATTAATTTGCATATATGATAGCAAAATCTGTTACGTCAACTGCAGTTGTTGCACAAATCCGGAGAAATAATGCATGTCGCATGGACGTACCACAAAATTGTTGCTGTATTTTCGTCATTTCACCATTTAACAATTTCATGAATTTTCCATTATTATGAGATTACGCGAACGATTAAGCTTACTTAGGGTTTACCGATGCTATTACTTGATTTTCGCAGGCATTTATGCAATGTCTCGCATTCATGTTCTTATAGAACTAGAATCGAGTATCACAACACAAACCGCGTTTCAACCATTTCAAGGGAAATTCAATGTCGAATAATGTTTGATTCTTAATAATAAACTGATCAGGATATCGCACGTGTCGAGCACACAGTATTCTCTGTGTGTAATAAATCCTTGTGCATATATTATTTCAATATAATTTAATCACACGTGATATGCTATAAGACTATACAGCATAACATTTCCTGAATTCGGATTAACACTGACGTTGGAAAGCCTGGACTAAACTGTATATAATATAATAATATGCATATGTTCCATTGTAGTACTCAACGGCGTGCTAATGCAAATTGTTGTTGCGAATTCTGAGGGGTAATAAAGCCGTAGTTTGAAAGTTCAAACATTTTGCATGGGATATTGTTTCGATTTCTCTGTAACGAATTAATAGAATAATTCATAATGGTGGGCGAAAACGAGAATTCGCACGTTAACAAGACATCAAGCGGCCCATTTATTTTATTTGGAAATACATCTCTTTCTATTAACGCGATATATTTAACACGCGAAATTGGCCGCCGGCCAGACTGCGGAATTTATCGGTCCTATCTGCAAAATTGATTACCTCTTACTCTCGCCGCACGTTTCGAGATGAATGCGAGTCGTCTGAGTTTTATCTATTTAACAGGCAATGTATGTTGGATTCAAAAGCAAAAACTTCATGCATATTTACTACTTTAATTATCGCTTTTCATTCTTTCGCTTCTAAGCATTCATTGTATAATAGGCATCCATTTTACTGCAATTTATAATATATTTTGAAAAGAGGAAATAATAGTCTTAAGTCTTAATAATGCGACGTAATAAATATCATTTTTATACGTTATTGCTAAAACATCTACAAATTTATCCTTGTACGTAAGTACATATAATATATCAATTTCTTTTTCTATTCACAATAAAAATGAAAGACTAAAAGGATTAAATCCAATAAAAAAGTAAATGTAATACGATTATTATCATAATTGGATTGTATCGCGAATGCAGGACAGAGTTTTATAATATATAATATGTTCAGTTATTATCAATTTATGATTGGTGATCATTTATCATTTAGCCTTATAATTGAAAAATAATTCGATCACTCTATAATATATATATATATATTAATTCGATTTTACATGATAAAGAATTGTAATTCGCAATTTTAGAATATAATTTAATTTGATTTTAACATATTAAAATATTCATATGACAAGGCACTGCGCCTGCATTTATCCGGCGTAAGAAACAGCAAAATTTCAAAGATGTGAAACACGTCATCGATGTGTAAAGAGGATCTTGCGTGCGTGCGAGCGTGTGTGTGTATGTGTGTGTATATGTGTGTGTATCGCTGCACGGCTTAGCGTGTACTGTAGAAACGTTTATATGTGTTAGGCAATCGCCCTCGCCCTGGTGCTCAGCAGCATCATCATCGGCACGGTGATCGGCAACATATTGGTGTGCGTGGCGGTGTTCCTCGTCAGGAAGCTACGTAAGCCGTGCAACTACCTGCTGGTCAGCCTGGCAGTGAGCGATCTCTGCGTGGCGCTTCTGGTGATGCCGATGGCATTGCTTTACCAGATATCGGGCAACTGGTCCTTCGGTCCGATCATGTGCGACCTCTGGGTCAGCTTCGACGTGCTCAGCTGCACCGCCAGCATCCTCAATCTCTGCATGATATCCGTAGACCGGTGAGTAGCAAGTTAATCAGCGATCAAGCCTGCGCCTCTCTCCGATATCCGGACGGAATTCGGCGAGTCACGGTACAGATCGGGTTCTCACGGAAGATCGAAGTCGCGTCATAGGTTGCTTCGTTGATTAATGCTTTCCCCGGATATGTACTCCGACGTTGTGCAACGTAAGATAATGTAATGCAACACGCACGATCCACGAGCGGGCGGCAATTCGACGCGCGGCTTGCCCGCCTGCCTCGCTCGCCTGCCACGCGAGGGTTAGTTGCCGTCGACGGCTTCAGTTAATTAACTCTGATTAGCCATTCCCGCGCTGGTTATAATATTGATGGTACAAGGCGAAGCGGTTAAACGCGATCAACGCTGAGCGACGTTGACGCGGCGAAACAAGCTATGAGTTCGTTGCGCATTATTAAGAACTTGACGTATGTAAATTCGTGTATCGAGCGTTGCGTATTGTATACTTCAGAGGCTCATTCAACTATTTTCATAGTGTTGAAACATAATAATGTTTAATCTACATTTAAAATCGGTTTTCTGCTGTTTGCATTTATACGAACTTTCATTGAAAGGCTGTGCATTCGAAAATTAACTCTTTCATGATCAAATTGCACATGTCCGCTTGTGGATTAAAATGATAGAATTTCCTGCCAAATATCATTGAAGCCGAAGTCGTTATGTTTCAGAATTAAATGTATGTTAAAAAAAAAAACACGTATTTATCTAGTTTCTCCTTTTGTTTTTGATTTTTGAGGAATAATATGTGAAATACATATATTTAAACTCTGGACGGTATAAAATTATAAATAAAAAAGTTGCAAGTACAAAAAATTAATAGGACACACGTATATCGCGATGGCCACGAAAGAGTTAAATAATGAATACGAGCGACCATTTCGATTTCATCTCAATTTCACTTCTATTTCATTCTGCCCTATTTATTCTCGCAGCGGAAACGTCATCATTCGCGAATATGCGGGTTCGAGTCTTGAGCCGGGCCTATTGTATATTACTCCTCCACTTACACAAGCGCAGTTGATCCTCTCCACTTTCCTCCGCTGTCACATTTTATATATTGCAGATTTGTTTTACCCCGTACGTATTTTATCTCCGGTGCGCGATTGAAATAGTTGCGGAAGCAGAAAGCGCAAAACGATAACCAACATTCCCGCTTACTGGATTTAGACGCGCCATTGTTTCAGTCAAATACCGTCCGCCGATGCTCCCCAATTTCGTTTTCGCCGTTTGAGCTTGCTCGTTTGGTTAATTGCACGAAGCACAGAAACCCCTCTTTACAATAGCTTACACGCCGTCAGACGAGTTGTTTATACACGTCAAGGAACACGAAAGTAAACGGAGGGAACGCGCAGGGGGGGGGGGCGGAAAATAAACGGACTTCGTTTGTCGGTATATCTCCTCCGTATGTTTCCTTATTTCACCTTCAGCTATCACCCATCTTGCTAATTTTATTTTCGGATTTAATTAGTCGGTGCAGAAACGCGCGCGTACAGCTCTCAACATTCTCGGCACTTTGCGCATGTATGTCTAAGGTACTGGGCCATTACGAAGCCGCTGAAATACGGGGTAAAGAGGACACCGCGACGGATGATCATCTACGTCAGCCTTGTTTGGATAGGAGCGGCCTGTATCAGTTTGCCGCCTCTGCTGGTGATGGGAAACCAACACACACATCCCGAAACTGGAGCGTCGCAATGTTCGGTCTGCCAGCATTTTTTCTACCAAATCTACGCGACCCTCGGCAGCTTTTACATACCGCTATTCGTCATGATTGAGGTCAGTATGCCGAATAGATAGCCGTTTAACTGAATAAGAATGTGGCCTCCTTTTTTTTTAATGATCTAAAATTTTTGAACAAAAAAAATCTAATTTTGATAACGTAGCGAATAAAAAATTATCAAATGTAAAAAGAGTTTTCATGTACTATTGAATCGTTCAAACGATTTGTTTGTTTTTTTTTTTTGGTAGCTATTATAGAAAATGTAGAAAATTTATTTGTAAACAAATTACTGTTATTACAAATGGGAAAATACACGCATAACTTCAGCATTCTGTGCTATCAGACATTTGGGGTAATAACGAATTAAAGCAAAGTTAAACAAACTTTCTACTTCGGATTGGCATTCAAACAGCGTATCTCTCCATAAATGTATAAAATCTGTTTTATAGTTCTCCCGCGAGAGAATACCCGGCAGGCTTAGCGTTGCTACGATACAAGCATCTCTCTGAGTTAAGGAGAAGTTAAAGAGTTAATAGGATTAATCATCGTACCCTAAACTTTATGTTACTAACCACATATGCGAAAAGTTAACATTCCCACGTCGAAGAGATAATTTTACAAGCGAATATACAAGCAACAAAGCGAAGTAAAATTATATTAACGAGCGAAAAAGATATATAATATAACATTATTTCCGGTAAAATTTTTTGATATGTTTTTGTGTAATATTTTCTTATAATAAAACATACATATATTCTCATATTTTTCAGTTATTTTTATTTATTGAACAATCTGAAATGTATAGCTATCATATTCGCTACATCTCAAATTATCTAAAATATTTCTTTCGCTCTCAAAATATTCTTCAATATATCAGAATAGCGACAGTTAATGGAAATTGCATCTGAAAAAATTGGCCTCTTTAAAGCTGTCTAATAAACAATTGATGAACGAAAATGTAAGTGCGATTGGAAAAAAGAAAGAAATGCCGTTGACTCCGAAACGCACGTGGATTAACTCGAAGCCGATAGCGGCAAAGAGGTAGTTGTGTAGGTTTTCATTAATTCAACGAGCGCGATACGAGTTTCCTAGTTTATAGCTCCTCTACATACGGCACGTGTCGCGAATATATACACACATAAATACATATATATATA